GACGTTTTAGTATTGTGGAGTTTCGAATCTTCTCCACCAAGGAAACTTTTAAAATTCTTCTATAGCGCCACATTTCGAAAGCCTTAAGGCGATTTAGATCGATTTTATTTACAGTCCAGGACTCGACACTATAAAATAAGACCGAGAATACGTAACAGCGAAGCAAGCGGATCCTGAATGACGATTTTTAGGTCTCTGTTACATAATATCTTGGACATCCTTCTAAAAGCAGCTCTAGCCTGCTCTATCCTAGATCTAATTTCGCCTAATTTTATATTTCTCCAGTATGAGCGATAATTAAATGGTGATCTTTACCGTTTGAAAATTTTAAGTCCGTTTACAAAATATTTATAAATGCCTGTTAGGCAAGATAAACTGATTACAGTTTATTTTGCCAAACTTTTTTTATAAAATGCCCTTCATTTATCCATTTATCCAAAAATATTTTTGCCTTCTCTCCTCAATCTTTGAATTTTCCTTAAATATTGCCTCTTCCAACAAATAATTTCTTCCTTCTCTATGAGCTTAGATTTTCTATTATAATTTTCATAAACGAATCCTAATTCAGTAAAGTTTTTCACAATTTATATCTTTTAATGCTTGTCAAAGATTGGTCTTTCTCAATGTCTACTAAAAGTTTATCTAAAGTAGGAATCTTTTTTTGTAAATAAAGTGAATGATTTTTTCTTCGAATTAATTGTTTCATAATATTGTCTATATGAATGGGTTTTCTCGCTGTTGACGTCTTAGGTGCTTTAGTATTACTTAGGTTCCGTCTGGTTCCGAGACTTTATATCGGTTCTTTGAGCCATGTTTCCTTTTACAATGGGTAGAATGTTAACTTGGCCCATCAACCCTCCTCTTTTATCCGAGCTTGGCTGTGAGCATGAACGCGGCTAATTGACTCTAACTTTTTAGCCAGCATCGTTTATGAAAAAGTACAATTCAATAATTCCACCAGACTATAAAGCACACCAAACTGTCAGTTTTTCTAGACGTAATGGTTTCTCAACATACATTGGAGGAATATCTTAACTCCAAATAGGGCAGTTTTGTTTGTAGACGTAGCCATTAAACCAAAAGTGAACTTTATCGCTAAACAAAATTCGGTTATGAAACTCAGAATCAGCGACAATCTCGTTTTGGACTCACTCATCGAATCTTCGAATCTATGCCTTGCTAGGTGATGATTTACCTTTAATTCTTGCATGAGATGGATTTTGTAAGCAGGCAAAGCAAGATCTTTCCATAAAATCTTTCATAAAGTGGATGGACACGTATCCAACTGCTTTACACGATGGCAGATAGAATGATTTGCGTCTTCATGCATGCTGCGCTCTACAGCAGCAAAAAGTTCTTCTGTACAGACTGTACGATGTGTTTGTGGATGCATATTATCAGTTAGAGTAAAAGTGATGCAAAAACGTTGCATGGCGAATCGAATTACTTGCACTGGTGGACTATTATGTTGGCCATAAAATGGACGTAGTTGCCGATACGTATTTCGAACAGAACCACCATTTTCAATATAAAGGCTATAGCGGGATAAGATGGTCAAAATTGCACCATGCTCGATTTAGTTATGGGTCTGGTCATTCGAAAGGACATAATTAAAAACTCACTCAGTTAAATTTTCAAGTCCTTAGGTGTCTCCGGGGGTTCGCTATGGAAAAAAACGTATTTAAAGAAAAAAGTATAAATAATTTTTTTGTTTTCTATGTAATACTTTTTTTTTGTTTTGTTCCTAGGCCCATACAATTTATTGTTAAGGAGTGGGGGTGCTTCAGAAAATGCAAAAAAAGCAGTTTTTTCGATTTTTAGGCATTTTATACGTTGAAAATGATAATAATACCTATGCCATTCGAAAGAACGGAAAAAAACCCATAAAAAAACATTGTTTTTAAGTTGGCCAAAAATTTCCGACATAACCTAAAATATTACTGAAAATTTCAAATATTTTTCGTTCGCTCAATTTTCAAGCTAAAAATCTGAAAAAAATCAGGTAGTATGGTATTATTAAACTACGCTATCTTGAATTTTTTCAGATTTTTTGCAATAATACAGCGTCTAAAAAAATTTTTTTTCTTTAAATACGTTTTTCCCATAGCGAACCCCCAGAGACACCTAAGGACTTGAAAATTTAACTGAGTAAGTTTTTCATTATGTCCTTTCGAATGGCCAGGTCCAAAACTAAATCGAGCATGGTGCAATTTTGACCATCTTATCCCGCTATAGCCTTTGTACAATTTGGAAGGCTTCAAGTGAATTTAGGCTGAACTGCCAAACCCAACCTAACGTAAATCACTTGACAGCTATCAAAATGGCCGATAGTTAAAAAAGTGTTACCAACTGACATTTCTATACCTCTAAAAAAACACCCTTTACAATAACAGTTTATTTCTTGTGCGTTTTTATTTTTCCATTAGTGTTTCCTTTACTTGCGGCCTATGCAAACTTTGATGTTCGTCCATTTTGTACATAATATATTATGCTATTCTATAAATGTTTAATGTAACGGCATAGAATAGTTGTTCATAAAATATTTATTTGTAGTGTTTGACAATGATCCTTGCACTACAAATACGTCAATTTAATTAAAAATATATGTTTATCTGTATAAAAACCACTATTGTATATATTGGTTTTGATAGAAAATCCATTAAATTATTAAATTTATTAATGTTGTTTTTTCAGATTATGTTTGCAGAGTATTGCAAAAATAAAACAAAATGAAACTGAATATGATTTATTATGGTTGCATTGGAACATATTCAGATACGATATATTTGAAATAATACAGTGAAACTGATATTTGGATTACAATTTCATTTATTGGTAATTGCGTACTCTAACAAAATAAAAAAGTAAAATATCCAATTGGATTAATTAACACTGAATACAAGTTAGTATATTTGCAAATATAAAAAATATTTATATTTCCGGTATAAAAGCTTTTCTCTGTTTCAACAATAGATTTTTTCTCTTTATCTGTTATTTTTTTTCTTTCTCCAGCTTTATGAATTTTTCTGATATTTTACTTATTAGACGTGTCTTTTTCTATAGGTTAAATTCTAACTTTACTATTGGTTAAGGGAGACTGGGAGAGTTAAGTGGAGTAATTTTAAACGAAATAGTGGATAGTATGGCAAAAAATACATCTGAGATATCTTCTTCTAAATGTGTCTATTTTCTAGAGATGTTGGCGAACACATTGATCCATCTTATTCTATTCACAGTAGCTCAAAATAGATCAGTTGATGTTAGACTAGTCCATTTTCTAAGATTGGCCAGCCAGGATATACGTGTACGTCCAGGGCCTCTCTTACCGTCAATCTTACCCTGTAGAATAAACTGTAGAAGTCGGTATTTATCGTTACGCATGATGTGGCCGAAATAAGCCAATTTTCTGTTTTTTTATGGTGTTAATAATTTCTTTGTCTTTGCTTAGCCTCTGGAGTATAGTTATGTTACTTGTGTGGTGTATATATGAAACCCTCAACATACGTCGGTAGCACCACATTTCAGATGCCTCCAGTCGTTTTATGGCATCTTCTGTAAGGCTCCAGCTTTATAATCCATAAAGGAGGACACTAAAGACTTATCATCTAAGAATTTTGATACTTAAAGATTTTAACAACATAAAAAAAACATATTTTTTAACAACAAGATGTATAATCTTTTATAACTATAAGTAATTTAGAGGGTTTTTACCCATGTATTTTTGGTGGCTCAGGCATTTTAACCTAGCAGATTTTAAACCTGATGATGGACTGTTTAGTCCGAAAACGTTTGTTTTTTTTTGATGTAGCCCTTTTAAGGGTTTTTAAATAAATATACCCACTTACAAAGACTAACCTCTTTTTTGTTTTTTTTTTTCTGCTTCTTCGTCGTTTATAGTGACCTTTGGTAACTTTGGTATCGTAAATCTACTAGTGTGTAAAGACCTTGATGTTGCAAATTTACTAAAACTATTCTTTTCGATAGGGGTAAGAAGATAATATCTTTAAAACGAAATGAGGTCTGTAAATTCACATCCGTAGCTACTGTGTTCAACTAAAAACTAAGCAAATGGTACGTCTATATATACTCTTATACTTCACACAGTGAGTATTTTAGAAACATGCAGACCACAATCATTTAAAATTAGTTTGAAATTTCTCCGTGAATCTTCTTCTTCTTCAGATGCAAATCCACTAATGAATGTTAGCGATCACATTTTCCATTAATTCTCTATTTCTTGCAATATGTATCAGAGATTGTATGTCGTTAATCCCTGTCCATTGCCTTATGTTTCGGAGCCAGGACATTTTCTTGCGTCCCATTGCCTTGAATTTTACCCTTGATTATAAGTTGGAGGAACTGGTATTTTTCATTTCGCATGATGTGACCTAGATACGCCGTTTTCCTTTTTTGATGGTTTCGAAAAGTTGGCGTTCTTTGTTTATTCTTTTAAGGACATCTATATTTGTGATTTTCGCTGTCCATGGTATTTTTAGGATACGGCGATATAGCCACATTTCGAAAGCTTCTAATCTGTTTATATCCCTCGTTTTGAGTGTCCAGGCCCTCTACGCCATATAGCAGCACTGCCCACACGTAGCACTTAGTAAATCTTAGTGTCAGTTGAAGATTGAACTCTAAACAAGTCAGTACCTTCTTGAATTTTACGAAAGCTTGTCGAGCTTGCTCAATGCGACATTTTACTTTCCTGTCCAATGCCGTCTTCAAGAAGCCACGATCCAGGTATTTAAATTTAATCACTCTTTCAATGGACTTAGTATTCAGTGTTATTGTGGAGTTTTCAAGTTTCTGGAGATGATCATAAATTTGGTTTTTTTGGTATTAATCTCTAATTATTAATCTCTCTCTCTCTCACGGAGAGAGAGAGATTAGAGATTAAATCTATTTATCTCTAATCTCTCTCTCCATGAATAATACTTAATAATTGTAACAATGTTAGTTTTAATTAAAAATTAAAAAAATAAATTTTGTTTTGTGTATATATTTAATATTTTAAAAATACCCTCAATAGTTATAAAAAAGGATCATGTAAAATATTATGTTTTAATTACGCTATCAAAATAAAACTAACGCAATAACAATAACACAGCCAATAAAAAATTATATAATAACAATTTGATTATTACAATTTACAAAACCGAAATATTAGTTAGTACGCGGTATAAACTTCAAATTAATTGCGTGTGCACTCCTTAGCACCATATCAGTTATTATTTCAACTTTTTCATTTTTATCAGCGATTTCCACTGAGAAATTCTGCATAATTCCACAAAGAATAGCCTTCATCTCATACATTGCAAATCTCTGACCTAAAATAAATTTGTTATTATATAGTATTACCATAAAATCTGGAAAACATTGTATTATTCTTTATTACACTTTAATACTATTCTTTATGAACCTAATAGCAAATCAAGTCATAGCAAAAAATGACAAAACTAGATTGTTGATTTTAGATTTCAAGGGGATAGTTTAGAACCGTAGACATCTCCATACTGGGGCCTTATAGGTAGTCCAAAAGATCTAAAATTTTAAGAAAGCCTAATATCTATTTCGGTCCGACGTTTGTTACTTGATCAGGTAATTTGATCAAGTCGCAGGTACTAGTAGTATAACGTTGATTAATAATATTACACTGCAGTTGTGAACAATACGTTTTGCCGTCTCCCCTGCATTCTCCCAGAATTTACATACTGTTCTGTTTACATTACCCATTTGACATAGATGATATCTGAGAGAAGAGTGTCTAGTGAGGACATACGTTATTATTAAGTTTAATTTTTATGAAGCTCTTACAATATTTTTATGTAGTGACTATAAGATCGTAATAACCTTTTTGCTTGGGTTTTGCTCTGGAATATTTTCTGTGGACCACATAAGTTCTGTATTCACATATTCCAACATCTTCCCCAGGTGAATTTTTCTAACATGGTTTGTACTGCAGAATGATTTTGGTACAATAATAAAAGTACTAGCCCCTTTTTAGCAAGACTCTTAGTTGTCTCTTTGCTAATAATTCCTGATATCCATAACAAAGAAACCTTATTGAATTTCTCCATGTACTTAAAAAACTTTGCTTTTACAAGCTGTTATAAATTCAAAAATTGTAGACTTTATTGTAGCTTTACTCTTAGCGGCAAGCAAACAAATAGCAAACGAGTATCCAAGATAGCTTAATCAGGGTAAGAGTTAATCTACTATTTTCGTTTGGCCCTATTTTTAACAGTGTTTTCCTTTTTTTATATAATCAATACAAAAAAATAATGTGTGCTATCCATTTATTTATTTTTAAATGTTTTAGGTTGTTTTCCTTCTTCCTTCTTGTATGTAGGCTTTAAAGACTGTTTTTTCTTTAATATTAGCCTCCTAAATTGTTTAAATTACCGCACCATCTTTGTCTTGATCTGCTAATGCTTTTTCATCAATTTGGTGAGTTATCTCGTGCTATTCATACTATCCTATCCTCTGCCATTCTACTAATGTGTTCGTTCCACTCCTGTTTTCGTTTTGTCACCCATCCATTTATGTCTTCTATATTGCATGCTTTTCTTATGTTTTCGCTACTTTCTCTATCCAACATACTTTTTCCTGATATTCGTCGGTATTTTCATCTCTGTTGTATCTAATAGTCATCTCGTTTTATTATTATCCATTTATCTTCGATATGGAAGTAGATATTTCGATGGTTTGTATAATATTAATTGGTATGTTTCTTTTATACAGTAGGTGTAAGACCTCTTCGACTTGGATGCGATCGAAAGCCTTTGCCACGTGTATTAAACATAGATACGCTGGCTTATTGTACTCGATGGTCTTTTCTGTGATTTGTCTTAGTACAAATACGGCGTCTACTCAGGATCTTCCTGATCTGAATCCTTCTTGTTCATCTGATAAAGTTGTTAGTTTATTAATTTTGTTGGTTAGGACTTTTGTAATAAGCTTAAGTGCAGTGTTTAGTAGATTTATACCTCTATAATTGTTGGGCTCTTCTTTTTCTTGAACATTCATATCACTATGCTGGTTTTGCATGCGTGTGGTATGTTGCAGTGCAATATTAGTTTTTGTATAAGTTTTGTCATCTCTAGGGTTCTACTTTCTCCTCCGTGTTTTAAAAGCTCGTTGGTTATTCTGTCTGGTCCTGGTGACTTTCTATTTTTGACCGATTTTATGGCTAACTCTACTTTCTGAAAACTGATTTCTATTTCGTGTCTTCATTCATGTACGTTATTGTGTTGATTATAATTTTCCTTTTACTTTTAAACAGTTCCGTCAGGTATCTTTCCCATTCGTTTGCTGGTATGTTATTGTATTCCTTTAATTCTGTTATTTCTTTTCTTTGGTGTCTTATGAATCGTCATAAATATTTTTTTTCTGTACCATAGAAGTCGCTTTCTATTCTTTTTGTAAACTGTTCCCCGTGTTCATTTTTTGTTCTTTTTACGAACTGCTTTGTTTTATTATGCTTGAGGAGTCACAGATGCAGTTAGAAAAATAGCCATGGCTAAATGGGCTTGAGCCGGACATGTTGCCAGATTAACGGATGATAGATGGACCATAAAGATTCTGCAATGGCGACCAAGGCAAGAGGCATATCGAAGCAGAGGACGACCACCGACTAGATGGACGGATGATATCAAACGCATCACGACAAACTGGATGCAAGATGCTTAAGATAGAAATAGGTGAAAAATTTTACGGGAGACCTACCTTAAGCAGTGGACAAATATACGCTAATTGATAACGATTTGTTTTATTTCGTACTCTTTTATAGGTATCTTGGGATTCTCGAATATTTTATGTTTTGAACTTTGTGTAGGCCTCTTGTTTCTCTTTACATTTCTCTTTTATTTCTTTTCTGAACTATGGTGTATTGTGGTTGTTTTTTTCTTCAGTACGACTTTGCGTTTTCCTACAGATTCTGTTGCTACTTCCTCAATGTTGTTTTTAGTTTTCTTTCAGCTCGCGTTAATATCTTCGATGTCGTCTATTTGTTTCAGATGTTTCTTTGTGCTAGCCCTCTTTTGTACATTTCTCTTGTAGAGTCGTTACACAGTGATTTTGTGATTCTACATTGAATTTTTCCTCGGTGATTTCCTGTAGAAAATGTTTTGTTGCTGTTTTCATTCTTATTGTTGCTAGTTTGTGTTCACGCCCTGGGTCTGCTGAGTTTAAAGTTCGGATATCTAGAATCTGCTTTGGGTAGATTTTTCTATTATTGACTATAAAATCAATTATAGATTTGTTTTCCCTAAAGTTTTCAAATGTATATTTATACATTGATTCTCTTGATTCTATTGATTCTCAGTTCGTTAAACACACAGAAACTAGCAATGAGTTCCTCATTTGCGTTGACATGGTTTTCATTAAATATTTGTTTTACTCCTAAAACTATTTCATTTCCGATTCGTGCATTAAAGTCACCCATAAAAATTAAGAGTTCTTCATGAGGTATTTCATCCAGGATGGTTTGTAATTGTTTGTAGAATGCCTCTCGTTCCTTCTTAGGTTTGCAGTCCTCGAGCCTATAGATAGATATAACGTTTTAGGTTGATGAATTTAATTTAGTTTTATAAGACAAAGCCAGTATTACCAAAATTTATAAAGTCGCATGTTCTTGACAGCAATATCACTAAAATAGTTGTATAATTGTTAGTTTTGGATACTTGTTAGTCCTAACCGACCAACCGATAAACGTTTTAAAACACCAGCTGCAAGTTTGTTGATCTTTTTTGTATTCTAAATGTCTCTTAATTCTTGTTTAAGTCCAACAGAAAACAACTAAATACTGAACAATAAAAAAGACTTTTAGAAAAACTATATCACAATATAAATATTGAAGCTATGAACTGAACTCTAACACGAACATGCTATGAGGATTAGTCAATTTAGATGAGGACCTTTACATGATTTTAGAATCTATGTAATTTTTAATACTGATTTATATAATTATGAATTGTGAATAAAAACAAAATTACCAATGCAATTTCTGGGACCAGCACTGAAAGGTACAAAAGCAAATGGATGTCTATTCACACAATTTTCAGGCAAAAAGCGGTCGGGATCAAATTTCTCAGGTTCTGGCCAATATTTCGGGTTTCTGTGAATGTCATAAATCCAAATATCAATAGAAGCCTCCTTTGGTACCAAATATCCATTCAGTTCAGTATCTTCATCCAACATCCTTGATATTATGGGCACAGCGGGAAAAAGACGTAAAGTTTCTTTAATAAATCGTTCCATTACTTTTAGTTCATTTAGATCGTTCAGGTCTGGTTGTTTTTGTGCATCTCCTAATACAGATATAATTTCTTCATAAATTTGATCCTTAAAATAAGATTGCATTAAATAAAATATTAGTTATTAAACAAACAAGTTTATTTATTACCTGGTATTCGGTATGTATTGCCAATTGACGTAAAGCCCATGATAGACCTGTGGCAGTTGTATCATGTCCCTAATGAACATAAAAATTGTTAATATTACTTAATCAAATAGAGCCGTAATATTTTGAAATCAAATTTTTTTAATAACTAATGTGTTAGTAGTATGTTTATCCTATTTCACTACATTAAAATATTAAAATGTTCTCTACTATCCGTCACTCTTAGTAATTAGTAAACGGCTATGTTTTGAGGGTTTTTATGACAATCTTTATTTCTGCATAAAATTCGTTTACATCATTTTCTTTTTTGTCGGCTACAAAATGTATCAGTTACACTGTTTCCTTTCATAGACCAAGGCGGATCTATGAAAAAACGACTACAATTGGATGTGAGAGGTGGCATTCTGCTTTTCGCCAAAAAAGTTGTGTGATAACTTCAGTGATGATAATTGATTTATCCTCCCTCTCACAGAGGTCGAGAATATTAATAAAAAAATAAAATATTTAAAAAAATTCAATACATCGTTTTTTGCCATCTTTCACATCGGCTGTCACACGTCTTAGATCTTTTATGAATATAAGCAAAGCAACGATTTATGTTAAGAAGTATTGTTCACAATATTTACAGTTATTTACAAAATACATTTTAAAATTATTGGGCTTAGATCAGATAGTAAACCTGCGTTTTTAGCACGTATTGCTAATAATAAACGTTAAAAATAAGATTACGTTCGCTGTAAATCTAAGGAGAAACCTTTAATACTTACTTCAAACATAAATGTATTCACTTCATCCATAATACCTTGGTCATCGATGATACCCTTGGAAATTTTTGCATTCAACAATAAATCCAGAAAAGCTAGTTTCTTCCTCTTTGTTTCATCATCCTTATTAACTTCAAAAGGTTTGAAATCTCGTGATCTTTCTAGTACAATACGTTCTGTAAAGCTATGCAGCGTTGATAAGACTTCTTTAAGTCTAGCGCCAAGAGAAGATAATAGATTAAATCCAAATGAAGTATGGAACCAAGGTCTTATTATTCTATATACCAAGATTTTACCCATTTCATGAATTGCAGAGACATAATTTTTGTCGTCTTTTTTGGTCAAATCGAGCGTTGTTCCAAAAGATGTTTCTAAAATTGTGAAATTAAAACATTAAATTAAATAATTTTTTCTTCACTAATTCGACTTACTAGTGTGTTACTGTTACTTGTGTTAAATAGTGTTTACATGACTCATCAGCTACTTATATTAAGTTTTATACTTTTTATGATAATTTTGTAATTATTAATAAAATGGCGAAGTACTTTTCTGGTTAGATGACTTTGGCAGTACAAATAAACATTTAACTTATGCTTATTATGGTTCGAAATTTTTGGACGCAATTCTTTAAAGTATTTAATAAGAAACCTATTAAATTTTATGATATACAGAGTGGACAAAAAATTCTACAATGTTGATGAAATTGATTTATATAAGCGCGTATCAACTTGTTTTAATATTATACAGACGACTATAATTTATACGTCTGGATGTGATGCAATTCATCGATATTGGATGTACATTTTTACAAACTCTACGTACTTTTTTCCCCAAAATTTAATAGACCGTATTATGTTTATTTTTAAGGTATACCCAGTTCTCTGTAACTTAAATCAAAAGGTTTCTTCCGCGACTCAAGAGTTACCTGATATACATGAGGCACATCCTAGACACTATAATAGGACTTTTATCAAAAACAAAAATTATCGTACTGTGCCACAGGCAAATAGATCGATAGGTTTTCACGAAGGACCTATTAGTCTTTAATAATAACTGTAATGTTAAGGAAATAGCAGCAATCAAAGATATAAACAGAAATATCAATAATAATATATTAGGGATTTTATATAACGATTAAGATATTCATAAACGTTTGTGATAAAAACAACGGTTTCAAAACAATTCAAAGTTCCAAAAAAGTACTTACTATATACTTACTTACATACTAAATAAACTATCTGAAAAGATACTATACCTGCAATAGTGTTTAAAGTGGTTTGAGAAATTAATGGAACTATATTTGTTGCCGATTTCTTATTTTCTTGTTTGATAATCTCGACTAACCTAGCAGTTTCCTTGTTAAACACTTTTAAAAATTCTTGTAAAATACTAAAGTGAAATGCAGGTGTCAAAATCTTTCTTCTTTGCTGCCATAGGGAACCTTAAAGTAATAATCCTGTTAATACGAAAAAATTAATTTAATTGACATAATTTATTTGTAATATAGCTATATTAGGACAATACATATTGCATCGAAATAATAGTTAAGACAAATTAAGTTCTAGGAAAAATGAAGAAGGAACCAGAGATTGTGTTTACGATCAAACGCATAAAATTGCAATATCTGGGAAATCAGCACCGTTACTACCTACTGCAGTCTATATTGCAAGGTAAAGTCAAAGGTAAGCGAGGACTCGGTAGAAGGAGAATATCATGGCTGCAGAATTTAAGAACATGGTTTAAGAAAACCTCAACGGAGCTGTTTCGAGCCGCAGCGAGCAAGGTTATGATTGCCAATATGATTTCCAACATCCGAAACGGATAGTAACCAGAAGAAGAAGAAGAAAAGTTCTTTAAATTTCTTCAGTCCGTGGAACAATTCGTGGAGCTAAAATTAGACATAGGTATACGAAAACCGATAGCTTTTACCTTTGTCGAGAAAACTAGAAAATTACCCGATTATCTACTTATATGGACAGATAAGGTCACCAATAAAGAAGTACTGTATAGGATGAACAAAACCGCGGATTTGGTCAACATCGTGAAGGGCCGTAAGCTCCAGTACTTGGGACACATAATGAAAAATACGAGCTCCTCCTCCTCCTAAGTGCCTTCTCTGTTGAGGTTGGCGATCAATATGGCAAATTTCTCCCTGTTCTGTGTTTCTCTTGTGTCTTTTCTTTCGTCCTATACTTCTTTTACCTTCAATATTGCCTTCTAATATTACCCGGAGCCGCTCCAATTCTCTAGAGGGCATTATGTGTCCTAGATATGATGTCTTTCTAATTTTGATAATATTGACCAGATGAGGGCGTGTGTTCATTACTCTCAGTACTTCGTTATTCGTAGTTCTGCTGGTCTAGCTTATTCTTAACATCCAGCGGTACATCCACATTTCAAATGAATTTAATTTGTTGACGTCATACTGTTTTAATGTCCAGGTCTCACAGCCAATTAGTAATATAGACCACATATTACACTTTAGTGTTCTCAATATTATTGAGACTGATAGCTTGGGGTTACAGAGCATTTTAAGCATTTTCATAAAACCAGATCTTACTATTTCAATGCATCTTTTGATTTCTTTACAGTGGTCTAGTTGACTATTTAGCTCTCTGCCCAGGTATATGAAGCTTTGGGAATTCTGAAGGGTGATATAATTTATTTGTATGTTAGGTGTAACTTGTTCATGGGGGTTTTTGTTCAGAATTTTGGGTTTGGAAACGTTTATGTCAAAGCCCAGCCTGTGAGTTTCTTCTGATAATATGTTCATCAATATTTTTAGATGGTCTTCTGTTTCTGCTAATACTATGGTGTCATTGGCATATCTTATATTGTTAATGATGATTTCATTGACTCTGGCACCTTTAGGGCGATCTTCAAGAAAAGCTCTTATTATAAGTTGGGCATATACATTAAATAATAGGGGGAACAAAATGCACCCTTGACGCACTTCTCGTTCTATGTTCTAATACTTGGTATTTCCGTTCTCTGCTGCGTTTCCACGTCTACTGTGTGGTTCCAGTATATATTATCTATGGTAGCTATTTCGTGTCCGTCCAACCCTACTTTTTTTAGCACCTCAATCTATTTTCCGTGTTTGATGCGGTCGAAGGCCTTTCTATAATACGATCTATAATAAGTTACGAGCTACTTCAATGCATTTTGCAAGGTAAAATTAAAGGAAAAAGGGACCTGGGACAAAGAAGAATATTCTGGCTTGCTTAACTGAGAGCATGGTGTAGAAACATCTCAACACAGCTCTTCCGTATAGCTACCAACAAAGTCATTATAGCCAGAATGATCGCCAACGTTCGAAACAGACAGGCACCCTAAGAAGAAGAATCTACTTATAAACTATTATATACCATATTTTAGATTCGTGTATGATAAATCATCTTACGATATGCTTGGGTGGCAGAGTGCTTATTATTAGAAAGATGAACTTAAATGGGTACTGTCTGCACTACAGATGACGAAAATTATTAAGAATTCTTATCAGGCAGTTTTTTGTTGGGCGATTTATAAGCGCCTCATTCGATCAATAAACTTTTGTAAAAGTTTATCCCCCTCTGTAATTTGTATAATATTATTTATTTCTAAGTTGGTATTTGCTTATATTTCTGTATTTTGTTCTAGGTAAGTGCAATTGATCCACCCAAAAACAGCAGTAAGGAATCGAATGGTAAGGATTAGTTTTTTATTAATATCAGCACACGCAGCTGAAGTTAATGTATTGGTAGCGCTACTTCTATATTATAAATGTTAACAAAACTCGAACAAGAAATAGGTAATGTGGATGTGAATGTGCCGAAAATATATTTTACTGCTACTAGGAAATCTGTTTGGTGTGACAACTAGAAAAACCATAAAGTTTTATATGGTACATATTAAATAAGAAATAACGGCATATTGGGGAGAGCGGTCCAGAGTCGAATAATGAGTATTTAACTTCTTCTTTATGTGCCGTCTTCTACCGAAGGTTGGCGACCATCATACGATAGGTTTCTCTGTTATGTGCCGCATAAATTATGTTCGCAGCTTCTGGTATTTGAAACCATTCTCTCAAGTTTCTCAGCCAGGATTTCTTCTTTCTGCCCAAACCTCTTCTACCTTCAATCTTGCCTTCTACGATAAGCATTTAACTGATAAGTATTTAACTGAATGCAGATATTATCAACATGAGCATTTATATTTGCCTACGTTCTACAGATAGGGTGCGAAGAACAGGAAAAGGAAGAATTTTGTAGTCCTCTTGATTGCAAGATGCTCAAGATTCCTGTCGAAATTCCTTTTATTGGAGGTGATTTAAATGGACATATTGGTAGAGAAAGAGCGGGAATAGAAAGAATTTATGGAGGTTTGGAAATGGGAATATTTTTTTATGATGACTAAAGACCAGTATATTACCGATAGTAGCGGGAAAGGTGAAGTTAAATTGATTTTGTTCTGTGCAGAAGAAGTCAGCTAAAAGAGGTTATAAACTGTAACGTAATAAAAGGTGAGTGTGTAGCTAGTCAACAAGTATCGTGGATACGGAGATAAAAGTGGGGTGGAAAGGAAAGCCAGTAGGAAAGAAAAGTATTTTAAAAGAAAGATAGTTAAGATTTTATTTCACATATACCTCTGTATGTTCGCTTATACGTATTTCATCCTAACATGACTTATTAGAGCGACTATTTTTCCTGCAACAATCTTTCCTGTCGACAGAAACAATCTTTCCTGTCGACAGCAACAATAAAATGACTCCAGTGTGGACGCTATAGCGACATCTGATAATAAATTACGAAAATATAAATCCGAAGATTTCTATTGACACAACCAAAATTCAGATTTTTGCTTTAATCTGTGCCTTCTAAGATTTTCAAAGCAAAACAGACATTGCTAAAGATATAAAGAGAGCTCTTTATTTTCGTGAAAGTATTTTATTTTACAAGAAAAGTATTACCTGAATTTGTCAAAAGACCTTTTCCAAGCCATGGTTCTACAAGGGTGTAAGTAATTCCTTTGGTGAGATGTTTTGACCCAGATGCGATTTTCTTAAAGAAAAAAAATGTATTTGTATTAGAATTAGTTAAAATATAAGTAACCAATATTCAAAAATTTACTTTGTTTTAATTACAAATCACCGTCTTAGTATATGAATTCATTATTAATTTAAAATTTGTAGTACATCTAGAAAGTATATAGAGAATAATATTGACATAGTTCTCTGATTAAGAATTGTTGACAAAGGATGTATTTTGTTGTAATGAGTTATATTTGTCTACCTGTATATTATTTATAATTAAAGGTAACAGAAAATAAAATAAAATAAATAAATTACATCGGTAGAGTGTCAAGTCGAATGGCACAGCGCAAAAACCAAAATCTAAACTTACTTCTGAAGCCACACTTTAGCTTAAGGTCACTCGCACACAGACAGCGGTCAGGCGTTTAGCTTTCAGAGTTCTTTTTTTGGAGTTGCGAGAGCACACGCGTGGCTGTCAGTTAACAGTGTTCTAGTTTCTTTTCACAAATTGAACCTGAAACATGTTCTTAGATTTTTCCAAAAAGAAAAAGCATTATTTTTGTTAACTCTGGAAGCGTCCAAGAAAAAAATGGCAAAGAAATGCTGGTTGCATCCAATTAATAGCAAGCGAGAGGATCAAGTATAATTTAGTACCATTTTTGCTAAATTATTTGAAGATGAAGAACAATTTTTTATTTGTTTTCATGTCAGTAAATAGCTCAATGAGCTATACTATTTAATCAGGCATCCTAGAAGACACCAACATCAATATAAAACAAACAACAAGGAACTAAATTTTTCTGAACTAATTTTGGAACATGCTTTTTAAAAAGTTTTATTTGCAAAAGAAACCCTATTTTTCGCTTTGTGTACCTTGCTACAGGAGATTACTATAAAACAATCAGCCATTCTTATCGTATGGGGTTTGCAAGTGTTTGCAAATGAGTCAAGGAAGTATGTAGTGTGATCTGGAAAGCATTACAAGAAACCTACAAAAACAATATGTTCTTGATGGGACTATATCCGAATGATATAGCTATTCAAGATAAAAGAAAATTCTGAGTAGTACAAGACGTATTGTAGAGAGTTTTTTTTAATTTTTTTCTTCAGAAATATTGCAAGATTAACATTCCAAGATAGGCAACGTGAAGAAAATAACATCGATTCTTTGGATTTTACGGTATTTGGAAAATAAAAAAATATATATAGTTAAAATTAATTATTGTTGTTTAATTACTATTTATAACTGGGAATAAGCCACAATTAAAGATAAAAATACGTTTATTGACGTTTCAATTTCCAATTCGGAAATCGTTCTCAAAATACAAACAGTAAATTAAACAAATTTTGTTTTTTGTTACATAGTGAAAAAATTCTTCTGATAATTTAATTTTATCTGACTCATTTATATTGACAATTCAGACATACATTATGCATTTTAAAGTAGACGACTTTAAAATGGTATTGCCAATATTGTTGAGTTGCGCTCCTGGGACGACTTTACTTAGAAGATAGTTCATTCGATTACATGAAATCAACTTTAACCGTCAATATCCTTCAGAAAAAATCATAGCATGTAATTCGTCTTTAAAAAGACAAACACATGACATGATGACAGTAAAATTCTCCTGTTAGTGATTCCATAGTAAATTATGAGGGAAAAACCAGGAAAAAAACCTCATAATACTATCCCGACATTGTAAGTATTTGTTCGTGAATTTAGTTTTTTTTTCCTGGTTTTTCCCTCATAACTTACTATGGAATCACTAACAGGAGAATTTTACTGTCATCATGTCATGTGTTTGTCTTTTTAAAGACGAATTACATGCTATGATTTTTTCTGACAGATATTCTCAAGTTAAAGTTGATTTCATGTCATCGAATGAACTATCTTCTAAGTAAAGTCGTCCCAGGAGCGCAACTCAACAATATTGGCAATATCATTTTAAAGTCGTCTACTTTAAAATGCATAATGTATGTCTGAATTGTCAATATAAATGAGTCAGATAAAATTAAATTATCAGAAGAATTTTTTCACTATGTAACAAAAAACAAAATTTGTTTAATTTACTGTTTGTATTTTGAGAACGATTTCCGAATTGGAAATTGAAACGTCAATAAACGTATTTTTATCTTTAATTGTGGCTTATTCCCAGTTATAAATAGTAATTAATTTACAATGCCACAAGAAAATAGCTTCAGAACAATATTAATTATTGTTGCTAAAAACAGACTGCTTTTATTCGAAAAAACAAGTATAGGATTCGTATAAGAATAATAGGTATGTTTGGCGCATAGTGTTAACAGAATTCCGGAAGAAATTAGAAATTATTGTAAAATGTGTTTGTCAAAGCAAATTTTAAGAGATAAGTTTCACAAGATAAAACTTCTCATTGTTCCCTTTATACCTCAACTGGTAATAACAAGATAATTAACCTGGTTGGAGGATGCATTCATTGTACACATTTTACTGATAAAAACTAGTTAATTAACTAACTGACTTATTGACTTGAAAATGGTGAAGCTGTTATTAATGCAAAATAAACTATTACCTCAATAGCTATCATTTAATCGGAGCAATTATGCTCGTGTATAGATGCTATGCAGCCTCCCACAGGTACGATGGAAAAACTGATAGTCGAGGGCGGAGTTAAAGGAAAGAGACCTAGGGGAAGATCTCCAAGCCGTTGAGTAGATCAAACAAAAATATTGATTAACCATGGGTTACATGAAGCCGAACAACTAGTGAAAAAACTGTAAAGGCCTGATGGGGTCACCACATCCCAAAAGGAAATAGGACTGAGGAGGAGGAGACCCTGAAAGAGCCGTGCCCTGTTAGTAACTTGCTGAAAAAGTAGTTAGTGTCTCTGTGACCGCATTTTATCCAGTCTGCAATAGTTGAATTAATACCCTCGTCCAGGCTGCCCTATGCTTGTTTGTTCATTCTTTCTGCTACTCCGTTATGCTGCTATTCCTAGCTACTATTTTTTTCTGCTCATGCTTCCCGTAGGTTTTCGCCCTTTTCTTCACCATTAGGTCAATGGGTAATACCCCTACGATCACTTGTATGAGAACCGTTGATGTGGTTCTGTATGCACGTGCTACCTTAAGCAGTTCTTTTTTTTGGGATTCTTCTAGCATTCTCCTATATTTCTTGATGTTAAGCACTTTTTGCGACACCTGTGCTGCATATTGTATAGTAGTGAACAACTTCCGTTAGAAGGCAATTACAGCAAGTCAACGCTAAATGTTATTCGCTCATAGTTATAGGTCGTTTACAAACGATCTGTTCAGGCTCTTTACACTCTCAATTCGAATCCTCGAAATTTGACATTTCGATTTCCACTCCGGAAATAGTTTTGAAACAAATTAAGATTGTTTAAACATTGTGTTAACAAGGGTGTATGATAGCATGTATGAAATGTCCTACACCCTTTTTAACATATTTCTTTAATAATTTTTGTTTTTGAAACCAAGTTTTGTAGTGGAAATAGAAACTTTAAATTTTTACTAAAAAATGTAATTTTCATTACATTTAAATTGTCATTTATTCTCATATAAACACAAGTTGTAACATACAAATGTGTACCATCGATTTTAAAAATGGTTTGTGTTAAACTTTGTGTGATATTTTCTAGTTATACTAGAATACATAATTGAACTAAGTACTAAGTATAACATAATATTATAGATAAGATATTTTTATACAATTTAGTTTAGTGATAAGATGAACATGTGTTAACTGTGAGATTTTTTTTATCTGTTTATAAATATGATGTGCGGAATTTTAAAAACAAATTCATATATACGTACTTCGAACTCATCAGGTCCAGTGACAACTACTACTGGCAAGCCAAGTACAGTGAATGAATAAACTGGAGAATATTTTCGACCCCATTCTCTAAATTTTTCAAATAGTTGCACTAGAAAACATAAAATTTAATATAAATAAATAGTAAAATGTTAAAATACAAAATAAAAATAAATGAAACAATAAAATAATAAAATAATTTAAACAAATAAAATGTCTATGAAATAGTCTAGGAGCCAGCTAAGGACCACCGTGGCCCTTAGCCTATAATGTTGTTGGTTCAACCCAAGTTTTCTTTAATATATTTTTGGTTGCTGATTACGAACTTCGAGGGAGGATTTCAATCCGAGTAGCCAAAAAACTTTTATAAACAATTTAATCACAACAATAAAAATTTTTTTAATTAAATTTGTTTATTAAAAAAACACAGAAAATGGCTTCTACTAAAGTTTATTCTAATAATTAAAAAACGGAATATTATAAAATCAGTGCAAAATGATTGCAAAATAAGTATTTTTTTAAGCTTTCTCGATCATAACTCGGCTTATACACATACTAATGAGCTTTACAATCTCATTTTAAAGCTTAATTTATAGACTCTCAGACAAAATGTTTTAAATTACTTTATCTTAATTTGTATAAGTTATACACGTTTGAAGTTTTCATTTTCTTATAAAATTGGTAAATTAATTTGTTTATAAAAAACCGTCTTTATATACCGTCTTCCTGTTTTTGTTTATAAGAGTTTTAAGCCAATTTGAGCAATAAACATTTATTTTTGAATTAAAAGTAATGGTAAAATTACTTTATCTTAATTTGTATAAGTAGTTATGCACGTTTGAAGTTGTCATTTTCTTAAAGAAATTGTAAATTAATTTGTTTATAAAAAACCGTCTTTATATACCGTCTTTCTGTTTTTGTTTATAAGAGTTTTAAGCAAATTTGAGCAATAAACATTTAAAATTGAATTAAAAGTAATGGTAAAAGACGGATAAATTTTCTAAATCTTTCAGTTTACGAGCTAGGGCCATATAAACAATTACATTGGTTACAACAATTTTTTTACCACATGGATCGAAATTCACTCTCGAAATTCGAAATCAGTAGACAAAAAAATATAAAAAAAACTTGGTGGACCCATTATAAAAAGGCCACGGTGACTTAATTGGCCCCTAGACTAAAATGAAGAAATTTAGCTCTAGCTAATATGCAGTAGAAATCTGCATAAGGACTATCTATTCGTAGCCGTGTATGCATTGAAGACTCTTATTCAGGCTTCTCGATGAAGAAGTAGCTAATAATTCCTATTTTTATTACACTAGGATTATTCGCCAACTAAAAAGCAGTATCGTGGATAGTGTCAAAAAATGTAAAAAGGAACAACCTTCTTCTGACTACTGAAAAATATTCTCTACCCAGAAAACTGCATACTTACTGGACACTGCCAGTCAGATATATCTATTAAATGGCTCAAGTGAACAGATCATTATGCAGATTCTGCAAAATATGGGGTGATTCTATTAAGGAAATTGACCATATACAAACATATTGCCTGCGACTACAGAGTAAGTGTTTGGCAACACCATAAATGTTTCAAGTTGCGCTTCTATCAGAAAAGTTCAATTGAACTGCATCCAAACCGTTAACGGAGATTGCCTAACTACGACATTTTACGTCTTCATACGCTTCTTCTTCTTTTGATTTTGCCATGCATTATATTTCTTATTAGTTCATATTTTTCAGCGCTCATGATATGTATCAAGTATTCCAACTTCCTGATTTTTATGTAATTTAAAACGTTTTTGCATTTTCTTTTTTGTCTTTCTTTTTTAAATAATTTGGCATGCTGATTTTGAACATTTTTGATAGAGTTTTGTAGCGTGGTTTGCATATGGAGCTTAATTAAATATAATCAAGAGCAATATGCCTAATTATTTGAAAAACAAAGCGTTCCATTAATATGTTCTTCAAATCGTGACGGCGTCGAAACACTTTCCTTAGCTCAGGCTACAGCTACCAAACTCAGAGTAGCCTAAAGGCGAATGGAAGGCTCGATATTTGGACTGACTCTCAGAGATAGATTTAAAAACGAAAAAATAAGAAGGGCATGCGTCACAGCTGTCATAGAGCGTATAGCATGGCTGAAGTGGAACTGAATGAATAATAGGAAGTGGGCACCAAATATTACAGTGTGGAGACCACGAGCTGACAAAAGAAGCAGAGGTACACCAACTACACGATGGAGAGACGATGTCAAAAGAATCGTTGGGAATTGGCTACAGGAAGCTCAAGACCGACAGAACTGGAAGAAATTAGGAGAGGCTTATGTTCAACTTTGAACGTCGAATGCGGAATGATGATGATGATTGTTTTCCTAGTTGTTCGAGAACTTGTTAGTTTTGCGATCCATTTATGATATTTTTAGAATACGTCGATAACACCACATTTCTAATACTTCCAGATTTTTAATGTAAGATTGTTTCAGAGTCGAGAGCTCAACCCCATACAAAAAGGTGGGGAAAATATAAAATCAAAGCATTCTTGTTAAAAGTTGACCTATTTGCACTAAAACATGTGATATAAGAGTATATAAATAATATCTTAAATAATATCTAGGCCAAACAACCTCTTTGAAATCTAAAATTTACGATACACTGTATAGAATAAAAACAATTATACTAAACAACTGTTAAAAGTAAAGTTTAAGTCTATAAGATCGCTGTAGGGAATGTATAGAGGTAGGTATAAGACAACTACAGTAAGTAGAATAAAGAAAATACGAGTGATGTATTCTATACCCGACAAATTCAAAGGAAATTGAAAAGTCTATAAGATAACCTAGGTCTATAAGATAACCTTCTAATAACAGCTTTAACTTACGATAATGAATGTTGGGTAACTAAAATAAAAGGACATGCTTCAATGGATGCATTGAGTGACGAGAAAGTATAAAATATAAATAAATATACATATAAAATATGAACATGAAACATAAGGGAATATAGAAAAGTCTAGAGGTATCTAGAATGGAAAGAATAGCTGAATGTCAATCGCCGGAAAAAGTAGGGGAAGAAAACCAATTAAGACGTGGTGACAACTGGTTAGACCAGGCATGCATATGAATGAAATTACAATTTGTTTTGAAAATAAAACGCATAATTTTATTTTTATTAAATACGTAAAAAATAATTAGGCTGTGTTTTCTTTATAAAAATTATCGAACGTAAGTTACAAAATAAAAAACATTTTTAATAAAACTAGAAATTATATAGACCTAAAAGCAACAACAGCAAAATTTTTTTTATTATTTTCCTAAATTCTAAATCAAATACTACCTGAATCACAGTTGAATAAATCAAAGAAGTTTCCAAAAATCGGAAGTCTTGGAGGTCCTGGCAACTTATAAACTTTTTTTAAAACACTACGTTTTTTAAATATTTTATAAACAATATAAATAACAAGCACTGCTGCTAACACGGAACATACGCTTTTGAAAACATCCATTGCTTCACAAATAATATGTCTATTCGTGTATGATCTTAGAATAAAATAGAAATACTGATTTATGAAATCACTAAAATACTGACCGTTCAAGGTTATCGTTGATATTAATCTCTAAAAGTGCAAAAAATGTAATACAGATAATAGATATAGTCTATAGTACAAGTGGTTTGAAAGTACAAAATATTTTTAAAAATAATTATTAAGCAGATTTTGTAAAAAATAACTGTTTATATTTTATGATTTTATGTAAAAATTATCTTAATATTGTTCTAAAGCTATTTGCTTATGGCATATTAATGAAATTTAATTTATTTTTACAAGGAATTAGCCACAATTTAATTTAAAGTAAGTTTATTTTGACATCTCGACTTCCACTTGGTAAACCGTTCTCAAAATACAAAACTATAATAAATTAAACAATTTTTCGTTTTTGTTACTTGATAAAAAATAAAATAATTTAATTTTATCTGACTTATCCATATTGACAATTTAGACATGTATTATACAATAACGATTACTAGTCTCAAATCACGAGTGTTGTGTGGTTTAACCCTCCGTTAGTCGCGTAGTTGACAGGAGTCAACCACGGGTATATTAACGCTCATTGTACTCAACTGGCGCAGTTAGGCCTTGTCACCACGCATGTACCGTCATATGAAGGTTGAAGAAGTTAATACATTGCCTCTGTTATTTGAGATCAGCCATGAGGTGTTGTTGATGGATAAACGTAATTGGTTGACGTTCGTCACCCGTGCGCCCAACTACGTTACTATTTGAAATCAGGTACATACTTTATAATTTTTATTTTTTTGAAATATTTATATATTATTCGTAGGATTCGATGGACAATATATTTATTTTTGTACTACAATTTTGTAAAAAAAACGAAAAAAAAAATAGAGCGTAGCAGTCATCCAAATAAGTGGATTGAATGGTGCAATCTTCTTAGTAACAATAAAAGTGATGATAATATACCAGATAACAATAGAGACCACGAAGAGGAAGATCATATTGAAGAATAGATGAAAATGAGCATGTAGATAAACTTTGTTTTATCGCTAAATACGGTATAACAAGATGAAGAAAAAATTCGCTAAAACCACATCCAATGAAGATCCAGAGCATGCAATATCGTGATGCATCTTCTTGGAACAAAAGACAAATCTCCTGAAACGCGCAATAAACTAGATATTTTCGAACTATTTTTTGACGATGCTATGTTTGGAATCATAACCACTCATACGAATACCTTTATAGATAAAGTGTGACAAAATTTTTCTCATTAAAGAGATTCTATATATACGGATTCTGTTAAAATAAAAGCTTTTATTGGATTGCTTCGTATTTTAGGTTAGTTGTATTTCTTAGCGATGTGTTCGGTTCGATAATATACATGATAGAAATCAGAGGAGAGACATTGATAACTTAGCTACAATCAGAGAAGTTATGGCTATATTTAACAACTACTTAAAAAAATATTACACTGCTCACGACTATATAACAGTCAATGTTATAGGTATACTGGCATTTAGAGGAAGTTGTTCATTTTGCCAGTACATTCTTAGCAAAAGTATGGATTGAAAGTTTTTGCCTTAGTTGATAGCAATACAGTCAATATGTTCCATATGTTGAAACACAGCCTGACGGACCTTACCGAATAAACAATCCAACAGGGTGTCGGCTGATATGCGCTCGATCGTTTTGCGCCCTTACCTGAAATCGGCCGGTTTACGCTCTAACACTTTCTTAATGGAGATGTATAGCTAATTATTTTCTTATATCGACCGTTTTGCGCTCTCTTGTAATCGACGTTAAATTCTATTCTACCATAATGATCAGGTAACGGTTAGGCTAATAAAATTAGTTTTAAAAAATCATAAAACTCTAAAAAAAAATAAAAATAAACCATCTTCCTTTCACACTTTCATTCAGGCTTAGGAATGTCAGAGTTTATACATAATATAAACATTGGCGTGTTTAGATGTTTTTTTTTTTCAAACTTTTTATACATTAAAATACAAAAAATTCTTGGGAACAAAAAATTGTCTATTTATTGCAGCTTCTGGATATATGCCAATGTCCTTAAACATAACCTTAAGTCCCTTGTATCTTTATATTTCTGTAAAGTTTTGGATATTCTTTCATCAAGATTAATATACGTTTTCTTGCGCCGCTTTCCTTCTAGATTGAAAGTAAATCGATCATAAAGGTGATCACAATATTCTGCTTCTTTAACCAGGCACTTCACTAATTGGAATACATTGGGATGTGGTCTTATTAATGTATTCAGACGATGATTACAACCTTCTAAAACGTTATTACTGCGATGTCTTTGATCATGGCATTTCCACATGTCCTTGGTAATTTGAGTATTTTCTAACCATTGTTTGACAAAGTAGTCATAAAACTGTTCCATTGTTTTAGAAATAGGAGATGTTTCTTGAATGCATAACCAGCCATCATCGATATCTTTTATGGGTAGATACGGTAACGCAGCACTAGCGATGTGAAATTACGTGTAATTTCAGAAATTGTAAGTTACACGTGTAAAATTACCCAAAAATTACAAACCAGATGTAATTTATGTAACTTATGTAATTTATGTTCATTGTATTAAAAAATCAATTGTTTGCATTCATATTGAATATAATAAACACAAAGTAACTACATACTTATGAAATAAAGAAAAGTGGATAAGAAATACATACAAATAATAAAGAAATGAAAACATAGGTTCTTTAGTTTTGTTTTAAGCGGCTTTTATAAATCACAACTTCCTTTTTCGCAGACAACTGGAGACCTTCTTGTTATAAAACGTCGAAGTTTCAATTGTTTGCTCTTCCAATGAGCCTTGTGTAATTTTTTTTATCTCCGGCAAATCCAGAACTGCATCCTGAAATTAAATAGGAAAGTGTAAACATAGAGAGTAAAAATAATGGGTTTATAATATAATATATACAGATCTAACTACCTTGTTTTCGGCATCTGAAGTATCCTTCTCGACTTCCGTTTTTTTTTGGGGTTGTTCTGTGCCTTTACCCTGAAATTGATAATTTTGGAATATAAACAATAAATATGTATGTGTTTACACTAATTTACCGATTTCATTAAGACGTTTTCTAAAATGTTCACTTTGCTTTGTCTCAAAATGCGTGCTGGTCTCTGTTCCCTAGTTTCCATTCTTTGATCAATTTCATCATCGGTCATTGCAAAGTCAGCAAAATTAAAATCATCGTCGGAATTTCCATTTCCTGTTGTATTTGAATGCCATGATGATATTGTCTGAAAACATAAGATTTATAATTTTTTATTCGAAAACGGTGGAATGCATTGGAAAATCGGAAAAGAAGCAAACTGCATATATCACATGCACATATCACATATCTAAAAAATGCCTAAATTTAAAATTACCTCGTCTAATTCTTCCTCTTCGGAAATATGGTTTTCAATTACTTCTATCTCCTTCTGTAAGTTTCTACCTTCTATCGAAACGTTGTTCTGTACAGTCTCTTCTATAGGATATTGACTTTGTATGTGATGTTGTCGTGAACGTTTCAGCAATTTTGAATTATATTGTATATAATTTAAATTTGCTGCCCTTTGAGTTGTTAGGCGATTTCTTCTCTTCGTATGAATGCTGCTCTGGGAGCTAAAGCTTCTCTCTGTTGCCGCAGAAGTGCACGGCATTGTCAATATCCTGACTGCAACTTTGGAGAGGCATGAATGTCCACAAAATCCTTTCCACCATGTAACCAAAGAGACATTATCGAGTATGTTCCATAAAAATGTTTCGCCAAAAAAGTCTGTTTTAGCTAAATAGTTTCCTAAATCCTCAGTAATCTTTGACACTCCTTCATCACCAATCTCTATCGTGGTCGTGGTTGACATAGTAGTAATGTATTTCATCGCTTCAATCCTTTCGGCTGATGATAAATTTGCACCAACAGACCGAGGGTTTAGTAAGTCTGCGGCAAAATGGATCGGTTGAAGGGCGTATTCCTTCCTTGATATAAATTTATCCATCGCTTCTGTTTTTTCGCAATCCGTTAGTTTCACGCATTCTAAATGAGTAGATATGTTACTACCGATTTTCGCGAAAGTTTCACAAACCAAATGAATTGACGAAGAATCTCCTTCAAGACGTGTTATTGCTTCAGTAATTGGCTTAAGCAATTCAACAAGAGCGCTAGAATTTATCCAGAATCCTTCATCAAGTAAATTTGCTTTTGCGCTGCGTATTCTATCTTGAATTGTTTTATCTGGAGATATTGCTAGACGTTGTAGGACGGACTTGCATTTAGTCAGATCTTGAAGACATTTTACATGTGAACCCCATCTTGTTTTTACAGGTAGGCTAAGAGACACTCCACACTTCATCTCATTTCTTATTTCTGTGAATTGAGCTCTCAGTACTTGACACTGGTTAATAGTTTTAACGATATGTATAATATGTGACAAATGTGTCTCTATTGAAGATAATTTCAAAATATCGCTGCACAATAAATGTAATGTGTGCGCTAAACAGCCGTATGATACAAGATGGGGATACATCTCTTCACATTGTCTCACAGCCTTCCTCATATTCTTTGCGTTATCAGTCACAATAGCGAAAAATTTTTTAGGTCCATACTCCTCCAGAACTTCAACCATTAATTTTGTTATATATTCTGCGGTATGCTTCTCTGCTTTTGTTAGTACTGATTTGACAAATAACGGTTCGGGTGTTGTAACAATGAAATTAATTACACTTTCATTTCGCAAGTTGGACCAACCATCGCATTGCAATGATAAATTGTCAGCTTGCTTAATTTTATCATTAACTTGAACTTCAACTCGCTCGTACTCTTCGGTCAGGAGACGATTTGATAACATATATCTCGATGGTAAGGTGTATGAAGGTCTAATTTTTTTAAAAAACAATTTCCAATCTTCATTCTCGGTAATTGAATGTGGTGCTGAACTGGTGTAAATAGCTCTAGCAAGCAAAATATTCAATTCGTTATTTTGTTCGTGTGTCATTCGATCACAAAATGATTGTATTCTGTTG